GAATCCATACACAGGAAACAACTAATGATTTAGAGTGTTCTTTCACTGCAACGTACACATTTTCCACACAAGAAAGTCTTTTCAGGAACTCAGTGTTATTCAGTGGAAATCCCATACAGAACAGGTGGAATTTTAAGATTCTATGATTGTTCCAGAAGGTACATACAGTAATAAAGAACAAGATCAAAACAAACTATACAATGAACATTAGTGAGGTAGAAAAAATTGAAGATAAAAAGCCTTTTCTACACCATTAAGAGTAGGAACAAAGTGAGACAGAAAATCCCACAAAAGACATGAAGTGTGCACATGAAGAGGCTCTGCTTCCCACTAGAGAACATGCAGGCCCTACTGCTTCAGCTCTGCCTCATCAGGGCTCTTTGCTTACAAATTAAAAATAACACTAGCCAGTATGATACGAATTCATATTTAGGAGAAAGATCTGTTCAATGATTTCTTGAAACCACTACATAAAAGTTAAATATGAGCATGTGTTAAACTCACTTAAAAGAGAGGCTGGAAATTGGCACATGTTTCTGTCTGATAAGGACCAGATTGTGAAACATTCACTGTGATTGTATACGTATGCAGCCTGTTCAAGAACAGCAGGCATGAATACGTGGATGGCAGTTACCAACTATGAAGTACAGGAGAGATCCACTGATGTTTTGGGGCTCTGTTTTTGGAAACAACTTTGGGCAAACTCAAGAAGCTGTAGCTTACCTGTGCAATATGGAATTCTTCTGGAAAACCACTACTTCGTCATGAATTCAAGAGGATAATGAATTAAAATATCAGTGTAAGAGGAGGAATTTAAACAAATCAATAGGTGTCTGAAGGACTAGATATGATGAGAATGCCTCCCTTCAGAGCCCTGACCTTAATCCTCAAGAGCAAATATTACATTTACTTGCATAAGTCAGGAGTGCGTTTTTGAAAAACTTATTCAGGTCATAGGGTTTTTCAAATCTGAACAGTAATGGCAGATTTGACAACAAAGCTGTGCTTTCTATCCCAAATTTCCTGCCTCAGGTAGATATGAGTACACCCCCCACCTCTAGGGGCCACTAGGACACATGTAGTGCCTCCCCTCCCCCTGCCATGTGTCCAGAGAGGAAAGAAACTGCTGAAAGGCCCCAACCAGAGACTGAGGCCAGCAGAGCAGCTGCAGAAGCAGCTTATGCAGAGACCAACAGACATGGATAGTATATTCTACAGTTTTGACTGGACTTTCCCCTCTGCTGATTACCTGTTTGCTCTAACGCCCCCTTCCAATCTCAGCCTCAGCGTCACTCCACATACCTCCGCCATCCCACAAAGGAATTGCAAAACGAACATGCTAGTTTTTGCCACCACAGTGATTGCTCTGCTCTGCCTGTTCTACTCCTTTCCCTATACTTTTGTCTATCTTGTCTATTTAGAATGTGAGCTCTTTGAGGCAGGGACTGCCTATTGCTCTGTGTTTGTGCAGAGTCCAGCACAATGGGGCCCTAATCTTGGTTGATCTCTAGGCACTACTTTAATAAACACGATTAACCATCTTTGTTAGGGAGAAGGCTACTCTGCAAAGAATTGCTTTGTGTGCAGGCCCTTTTCCACTGTGCCCCCAAAGCATCCCCAGACAGTGCCTAGGAGTCCTGACGTGGGAGGCTTGAACAGCTCAGGAGACAGGGAAGCCTTCTGAAAAAGTATGCTCCCCAGGCACAAGTGGTATAGCTGGAAAACCCCCTCCTTGCTGACGTCTGTTGAGTCTGCACTGTCTGAAAGGGATTGGTATCTAGAGAAGATGGCTTGTAAGAAATCCTCCATAAGGCATCAGACACTCCAAGATCCAAGCTCTTAATTTCAAGACTATCCAATTGTTTCATAGTTGGATAACTCATATTTTTACCATCCTTTAATTATTTCTGAGTAAAGAACCAAGAGATTATTAACATTTATATTTTGATAGTGCTCAGTTAACTCATACTTACTGTCCTATTTCTGCCTTGTAAAGAACACGTAAAAGGAGACGGAGGTAAAAAACGTAACCACATTAAAAACATGCTGCTGGTACTGAACATGTTTCAAGTTCCTAAGCCTACTGAGGTCATGAACTAAGAGCTGCTTCAATTAAAGACTGCTCCAGGCACAGCATGGAATAACTATGTTCTTATAAAAAGTAGATACTCTAGGACAGTGGTCTCCAAAGTGGGGTGCACGAGGATCCTTGGGGGTGCGCGGCAGGAGGATCGGTTTGGTTTTTTTTTTGTGCGCTTCGGCAGTTCGGGCGGGAGTCCGAGGTTTCCGCCCCCCCCTTCGGCGCTCAAAATTTTTTTACTGATAGGGGTGCACGATCAAAAAAGTTTGGAGACCACTGCTCTAGGAGATGGGCGATTCAACAAAATATGTGAAATAACCGAAGATCAAGGATTACTTTGCAGCATGAAGCATCAGTGACATCTCTTTTTCTGGGTCAAGTTGTATTATTTTTGAAAAATGGACTGGCCCCCACAATTTAAAGTTGCCCCATTTGTGGCTGAGCCATGAACAGATTATTCTAAATAATAAAAGGCACTGTGTAAGAACATGGAAGTTCCAGATGGTAATATTTTCCACCAAAAAACCAATACAACCGTGGGTAGAGATTCCCGGTAGGACAGTACACTCCTTTGGAAAGACAAAAAGGTGAAAGGAGGGCTACATCTCTGTTTTGGGATAGTCTTGCTAAATACATCTCCAAACAGACAGAATCCTCTTATTGCAGTGGCAAGGCACAAGAACAAACGGAGCAACTATTATAAAATTTAACCTTAAAAAAATATGTAAGCCATTCTGACAAACTTACATCTATTCTTTCCATGGAAGAGCAGATGGCTCATACTTGGTCTGTGCATATGAGCTCTGGTCCATTTGTAGTCAGTGGCAAAATTCCTGTTTACTTCTTCAGAAAGAGCATGTGATGAAATCCTAACACCATCGACGACCCCCACTGAAGTCAATGTCAATGGGAGTTTTGACATTGATTTCAATGGGGCTAGGAGCTCAACAAGGGCATATGATATATCTAAGCAGGACTTTAAATAAAGAAAATGGAAAAACACTTCTCCTTGTTTAAGCGCTTAGGCTAATGTAAACACGGAGAGGAACTAAGGGGTAGGGAAGGTTCCACTTGTAAAAAAAAAAAATCAGTGGCACTAAAGATGGGTACATGATTTATTTTACAGACCATTGCCATCTCAGCCCTGTGCAAAACATGGAAGGTTCAGTGAAAGAATAACCCTGCTTTATAATGAAATGTCTTACCAGGCAGAAAATTAAACATTTTATATGTTTGTTAGGATTTTTAATAGTCTGAAAGCTGCAAATAAGAGAACTTCCAAATATTGGTGAAACTCAGAGGCTAATTTGATTTTGTGTGAGGAGGATTTAAAACACAGTGGTTCTTAGCACATCTCCTTATATCCCCTTGTGCAATAGCCTCACACTACTAGTCATGTTCTCTTCTTTCTGTCCATTCTCTCTCGTCTCAATTTTTATCTTATCTTGTATTTTTTCCTGCATTTTTGTTGTCACTATTTTAAATCTATTTCCATCTCCTAATTTTTGCTCCCTCTCCACTCTACCCACTTATTCCCCTTCATTCCACAGATAGCTACATCTAAATACTGCTTGGGGTGTGGTCACATCCACTGCTGGCTCTGAGGCATGTACTCACTCTTGTGGCTGAGCTGAATGGTGTGGGAGCAAAGGACAGAAGCTTGTGCAAATTAACAGTTGCCTGAGCCTACCAGGCCAGCACTGTTCCTGGAGCAAGGGTGCCACAGTAGGGGACGCCACAGGAACAAACATGCAATGAGAAAGCAAATTGTGGAATTCTGTGTTCAGGAAACTTTTCTTGCTCCTATTGCTCTGCTTCAGTCCTCTTTGAAACAGTCTGATCCCACCCCCAGATTGGTAAATTCTGTATTATCTAATGTCACCTCCTTTTCTAGTATTTTCCCCGTGCTTTTCTCTTATTTGGTTCCCTCTTCTCCATGACTGTGTAACACTGGCGGTCAATAATGGCAGAACTGTGTGGCTTGGTGTTGCACCATGAACTATCATCGCTACATACAGTAGAAATATACTGATATCACCAGCACAGTGTGTGTGGCTAGTACAAACACCTACACTGCTCCTGTAATTTGCCAGCAACACCCTCATGGGCACAGAAAATCAATGCATTTCACTGACTTAGTTTATTTAAATAGATTATGCTAATATTTTAGGAATGTACCTCTATTTTTAAAACAAGTTGTTCACCCTTCTGATTGTAACTAGCAGTGTTCACATTTTGTAGATCAACGAGTTAGTGTCTTATTTGCTCTGCAATCAGACACAAACAAAGCACAAACAAAGGTGTAAGCTTCTCTTTACATTAATGGAGAGAACTTCAAAGACTAGGGCTGATCATTCATATGTTTAACCATTATTCCGTCCAAAACTGAAACCCACAGCTCAAGCTGTAGAAATAAAATTATGCTATAAAATATTTCATATTGTCAACCTACAATGCAATGTGAAATATTCAAGTGCACTAGATTGTATCTTTAACACATAAATTGCATAATATATACACTTTTAGCTATAAATAGGAGTTACTTATGGAACTAGAATTCTCAAACAAATGTAAATGTTTTCTTATTTACTTTCCTCACAGATATGCTTGCAAAACTTGTTCCAAAGATGATCTTTTTAAGGAATGAGGTGTTAAGTTAATTTTTGGCATATTCAGTAGGCTTCTTTTCAGCCTGCCCACCACCTCTGTGACACTCCAATATTCTGACAGCCCTAAAGTATTTAAATATGATTTTAGATAAATTATCTAGCCTGTGTTTACTATAATTTCAATCTTTCTACTTTTTTCCTCCACAGTTTGATGGAGGAAGCAGAGACCTCAATTTATTTAACATAAATTAGCTTTATTATTCACATTACTTTTTGCTGATCTTTTTAAAACAAAAGTCAAATTAATATGGTCAATTTCTAAAACATTTTATTTGTTCTTTTCTATAATTCAGTTTATAAAACTGCAATATACAAAAATTCATTAGAAGTAAAACTAAATGTAAAACAAAGCAAGACCTTGTTTGAGATGTTTTCCCAGAAAGCTTTACCTACAGGCTCAGGAGCAGCAAACACTCAGCATATTTAAAAATGGAATTTAGAATAAAATTGCACACTGAAGCAAATGGACTGGTTTTTGACTTCTTCATAAGAACAGTTTATGATTTCGTTAAAATATCCAGTGACTATTTTAAATATCCTTTTGCAGAATAAAATCAATTTTAGGTCAGTCATCTTCAGAGAAGCGGATATGTTTACTTGTCTCTTGTGTCTTTGCAAGTCTCATTCTTTCAGCTTTGGCAATCAGCTACAAAAAAAAACAAAACAAAACAGAACATTGAAGTAAAGGTGAAAGAAAACTGCATTCAGATTACAGGTTTATATCAAAGTCATAATCATGCTAGCAGGTCTCTTAGAAGATAACTAATCTTCGAACAACTGAACCAATCTGTACAGAGCATAGTTCTCTTGATACCAAAAATGAAGTGGCTCCTGATATTATTTTGCTCAGTAGCATATAGGAACCATCAGAAAGTACACAAATAGCACAAAGTTTTCCCTTAATCTCTGGACAGATTAGTGTCTTTAACATTCCTTTAACATTCCATCTCAGTGTCCCATCAAACATGGGGGAAGGGAGGGAGGAAAGGAACTGATAGTTAAACACACACAACCCAAAGACCTCAAACACAACCTTCATAGCCATTTTTAAATGGACTAGTTCTTTGCGGCTTCAAGCTCTTACTTACTTAACTATAGCAGGATCAAACCTTAAAGAAATAAATTTGTCAGGAATGCTATGTCATTTTCTAGAGTCAGTTTCTGGAGAGACAAAAGACTGAAATCCAGAAGGAGGCCCATCCTCTAGACTGGGAAAACAATGCATTATGTATTGCAAATCTAATGACTACTCATCTGAATTTAAACAGTATTGGCCACAGGAATGAGCTTGGGCCTAGGAATCCTGAGTTCAAATGCCAGCTCTATCAATGACCTCTCCGTGTTTCAGTTTCCTTAGCTGTAAAATGGAGATAGCCCCTCTCTTACCAGGGTACTGAGGATTAGTTAATATTTGTAAGGCGTATGAAATTATAAATGTTAAATTGTGGTATTACTGACAATTTCTCTCAACCCTTCAATTTGACTTGATGGTACATTCTAGAAATAAGCATTTATAGATTTTAAAAAAACTGTGAATCAAAGAAACCTCAAAATCCAAGGCTGCCTGTATAATTTTAAAAAGGATATTACATTATATATAGAATAATAATAAAAATGAACATTCCAAGGGAAGGAGTCCCGTTTTTACTGGCATTAACAGAAGACCTGCCTAACAACTATTTGCATCATTGACCAGAGGGCCTTGCACCTTTCCCCTAACCCTGTTCCCCTAACCTTAAGGCTCTCTGTCATGGCAACTTATTTACCACCTTTGCAGAGGGAGGATAGACAGAGCCATTGTTGGAGCTCTACCTTCATTTGTAGCTGAGCCACAAGAGTTGATGCAGAGTAATGAACGTGAGGCAGTGGCTCCCCTACAGATCAAGCATGCTATATCCTCCGCACTTCCAGCCCCGGATAGCCTAGCCAGGAAATCAACACCTAGTCTCTTGCACAGCAGCACACAGAACTCACCATAAAGACATTGGGAGAACTTGGAATCTTTAAACAAAAAAACAAACAAAAAATTGGATATTGTTTTGCCACAGGGAACTCTCCCACTACAAAAGCAATTCTATCGTCCACTGTCCAGTCGCTGACCAGAGGGCCCTCTTTCTTCTTCGACACAGGCTCAAAATATTAGGCCAGTCCAAGAGAGGTCCTCAGTTTTTCAAACCATAACTAACATGTGAGCTGCAAATTTTCTTCCATTTCTACTCCTATACTTTCAACCCCTCTCTCTTATCACAGCACACACCACATTACTCATGTGGCAACAGCAAACCTCCCCTCACTCCTTGGAGATTAAGAACAATAGCTGGGAAAAGCTCTCAGTCCAAAGTAATATGAAATGCAAAAATGCTCATATGTTACCCTCGTGGGAAGCAAACTGCACTACTAGTTAACAACTTGCAGATTCAGCTTTTTTGTCCCCAATCTGAAGAAATTAAATGGGATATCACAAAAGTCTATTTTAAAAAAAAGTGAGAATTTCAGGAAATTTCTGCCATCACTGGATCCATGGTGACTCACATCTATGCAACTGTTTTGTTTTTTCCCCCCAATAAACTTACTTTAAAAACAAACAATGTAATCTTACATATATATACACTGTACACCTTTAGAGCTTTAATAACACTACAAAGACAGATGACAAGTTCTGCTGAGATTTACCTAAAGACACAGAATGTTATCAATTATCTGAAATCACCAACTTTAAAAAACTGTGGTCTTGTCCACACAAACATGACATCTTGCTTGTGTTCTGGAGGATATTGAGTCAAAATTGATATATGCCATTTAGTGTCCATACTGGGGCATGCATTGATTTAACTAAACCTGTGCAAGTCTGCGTGTAGATAGGCCCTGTGTACCGCAATAGCAGAAGTATAGACTCACTCCATGGCACCCTCACTATCCTCCAGAACACAAGCCAGATGTCATGTTATAGCAGATATATCAGATGAAATATAGTAAAGGAAGCAGAGAAAATGCAAAGAAACAAGGAACAGACAAAAGTACCTCAATTTCTTTCAAGTCTAGGTAGGAAGTGTGTAGGAAGACAGATGTTCTTGTGAATAAAGCCCAGCCTATACTAGGGAAACTTGCACCACTTTAACTACACTGATGCAGTTATACAGCAGGGCTTACAATGGTACAGCTAACTTTGGAGCACCACTGTAAAGCCTTACCTATAATTAAAGTTGCACCTATATTGCTTATATGAATATAAAATTGTTAAGCTAAACCAATTGTGTGTGCTCAGACTGTTGTGCTCGCACCAAATGCTTGTACAGCAGTAGAAACCACGAGCACACAGCCCCTCTGAATTGATGGTAGTGATTTGTAAGCCCCACTTTACATCGGTGCTCAAACACTGCACTGGTGCACATTTATTTAATGTAGGCAGAGCCCAAGTTGAAGCGTAGAGTGAACAAAAACGACGCCTAATTCTTTAGAGAAGAGCCAAGTACCAGGTAAGTCTGACAAATACTCTTTTCAATATATCCTGACCTTCAGCATTCAATGTGTCACCCTCAGATTCATTCATATAATTGGAAGATCATTTTAAATTATGATAGATGAGTTTCCAACTAGAATTATGATTCTATTCAGACTATATAAAGTGCATGTATTTTTATATAAGATTCATGTTTAACACTTATCTGTAAAGTGCTTTACAAACATCTTCAAAGACTAATTTTGTACTTGTAAATTACAAAATAAATAGGATTTTAAATCCCTTTAATGCTAAGAACATATGAACGGCCATACTGGGTCAGATCAAAAGTCCATCTAGCCCAGTATCCTGTCTTCCGGCAGTAGCCAATGCCAGGAACCCAGAGGGAATAAACAGAGCAGGTAATCGAGTGATCCATCCCCTGTTGCCCATTCCCAATATTAGTTCTTAACTGTAATGTCTTCGTGAACTGTACAGCCTTAATTATGAAAGTTTTTATTACAATAATTTTCTTGCTTTCCTAAATTGTGACTTTAAAGAAAAAAACATAACTAATTCTGAAGGATCTTTAACAAAGGTTTGACAGTATAAATGAACATTGATGAGCAGGCAAAAAACAGATATTAGAGTTGTTGAAATTGCAGTTGGAACACAGACTATCAAAGAGCAGTGAAAGAGTTAAAGTTATTTAACTTCCGTTAATCATTCCTCTCACAAAGCCTTGCTTACTAATGTTAGCATTTAAATAGACCTGACTAGGCTTTGAAGCTAACACCTCTCTGGGTTGAAAGGTGATGGGAGAGGGGGAGGAGTGAGAGTTTGCACCTTTTGCTGCTGCTATTGTTAGGCAGAACTGAGAGTTTATTTTTGCAAGCCTAGATGAGTTACACATTACAGGCTACCTTACATCAATTTGCACAGCAAATACTGTACTATCTTCACAACAAGAAGCGCTAGAAACTTGGGTGCTGAGTTTCCACAACTCCAGCTGAAGTCAATGGAACGGGGTGTGTGTGGGGGGGGAGAGAATCAAACCCTTCATTTAAAAAAAAAAATCTATCATTTAATCAAAAATGGCAACAACAAATCCCTGTATGGTAGCTTTACCTATGTGAGAACTCAGAGAACATTCAGTAATTATATGAAATATTATAATAGTATATATAAAAAATACTGCTAATAGCATTTTTACCTGAAGAAGGAAGCAGCAATGCAGCCATACAAGATTTTTTCCTTTTCATCTATATATGCAACTGGGAAACTAAGACTGGTCAAGAAAACCAGATTTTCCAGTTTTACAGGTGAAAACAAAAGGGTTATTTTAAAATTCAAACAGAAGACCTTACTTGCAGTGGATATACGGTGATCAAGGCAATAAGATGTAAGGTGAGATTCTCACCCCTTCTCCAGCCCTTGTACACAAGGTAAAGGGGACAGAGTGGTGTAAAGGGACTCTAAAAGCCCCAGATCTAGGCAAAGGAGAAATTCCCCAGGGCAGGAACTGAAAGTGACAGCTACAAACTGTTTTCCAAGAACCCCTTAACAAACAGTGGCTTAAGGGGTACAACAGGGTGGGAGGAGAATTTTAGGTGCACAGTTCTACAAAGATTCTGGGCAGCAACTTAGCCCAGGTTTACACTAGGAGCACTTCTCTGGTATAATTATACTATTATACTATAGCAGCAAAGCACTCCTAGTATGGATTCAACTTTTGCCGGTACAACTTATACCGGCTTCTGCAAGCAAAATAAACTATACCAGCAAAAGTACAATTTTGCCAGTATAACTGTCTACACACAGTTAGGCTGATGTCAGCGCAGCTATGTCACTCGAGGATCACAATTCTTCCCACCTCTGCCAGATCACAGTGTTGACAATTCTCATGATAATCACTAAAAAAATGACCACGAGGCATTCTTGTGGCACCTTAGAGACTAACACATTTATTTGTGCATAAGCTTTTGTGGGCTAAAACCCACTTTATCAGGTGCATGGAGTGAAAAATATAGTAAGCAGAATAAATATTATAGCACATGAAAAGATGGGAATTGCCTTACTAAGTGGGGGGTCACAGTGCTAACGAGTCAATTCAATTAAGATAGAAGAGGCCTATTCTCAATAGTTGACAAGAAGGGGTGAATAATCACTGTTTTCCTAAAAAGGAGTCAAGTGGATATGTGATGATTTCAGCCTTCATTCTTAAAGAAAAAGTAAGTTTCTAGCCCTTCTGGCTGTGGAGAAAGTTTCAAAATGTGACCCCAGTGCACCCTTAAGGCTCAAAAAGCAGAAGACAAATAAAAAGACCAAATCTATAATTTTTTCATAATCTCATTATTTTTGGCGAGCCTGACTCATGAGTTTTCAACATTTCGGGTTGGCAATACTGTATGGTGGCAGAAGCTTGTAGAGTAGACCTGGCCTTAGACAGCCCTGGGCTATATACCTGTGCTGGCAAAACCCCCAACATAGACACAGCTATGCCGACAGAAGAGGGCTTCTGTAGGCATAGCTAATATCGTTCAGGAAGATGGTGCTGTATTACTATGCTGACAGAAGTCCTCCTGTCAGCAGATGCTGTGTCTATACTAGGGGGCTATTATAGCGATTATGGGCAGAGCCTAGGTTCCATTGGGACCATTCTGGCTCTCAGCAGTCTAGAATTGTTAGGGTTCTGAACCCCCTCCTCCTCCCCCCTTTTGGGCTGTAAGTTCTGGTGTAGCACAGAATCTCATCCATAGATAGTAAACGTGCAAGTTTGTGCACACACAAGAGCACAGATGTAGCAGGGAGTGTTCCTCATGCTCTGGTCTCCAACACCATGTATGCAATCCAAACTGTTCAATCATGAGTCACGCTCCAAATAATAATAAATAATAATAATAATAGTAGTAGTAGTAATTTTTTTTTTTACCATCTGGTTTTTGAGACTTTAAGGGTTCATGTTTACAAGCTTTTCTCCGCAACCATGAGGGCTGTGAGCTTACTTGCTTTTAAATAAAAGCCGAGATTCTCATGTAATTGCCTGACACTATGAGCTAGAGCAGGGGTCGGCACACATACCATAGGTTGCCTAAGGCGGCATGCGAGCTGATTTTCAGTGGCACTCTCACTGCCTGGGTCCTGGCCAACGATCTGGGGGGCTCTGCATTTTAATTTAATTTTAAATGAAGCTTCTTAAACATTTTAAAACCCTTATTTACTTTACATACAACAATAGTTTAGGTATATATTATAGACTTATAGAAAGAGACCTTCTAAAAATGTTAAAATGTATTACTGGCACGCGAAACCTTAAATTAGAGTGAATAAATGAAGACTCGGCACACCACTTCTGAAAGGTTGCCTACCCCTGAGCTAGAGGTTTAAGGAAAACACCAAATATTGAAAGACTCGTGATAAAAATCACAGGAGTTGGCAACACTAGTATAATCAGACCCCTTTATCATGGAACAGCACATAAATCCTTTTAAATTCCATTTGAAATGCATTGTTTTGCAGCTTTAAAATACTATTCAGACCAATCAATTTATTCCATTAAATGTAAAGCTGTCTTACCTCTTAGAACTAGAAATCAGAATTCTTTAACTACATGCAAACACAAAACTCCTTAGCAGTGACTGCTTCAGAACACCAGTGTCTAGGTGGGCAAATCATTCATTTTTATTTTCTACATGTAGCAACTGAACCCTGCAGTAACCAAGTGCTCCCTACTTTGCTGCAGCATTTGACTGTAAAATCTACTGCCAAGTCATCAGGATAAGATAAGAGACGAAAGTGGAGCGGAAGATCACAAAGTTGAGGAAAAATACAGATATTTCCCTTTCACCCATGCTTTTGATCACAGAAATCACATTTCAATCACTGTTACACAAAAATAAATATAAATCCAGACAATCCACTATTCAAACTTATTTTACCTTCTCTGTGCCTCGCTTCTTTTCTCTAGGTTGGTTAAGTTTAGCTTGTCTGTCCACCAAAATTTTCTGCCAGTACCGCTGTTCATGATCACCTTGACATACACATGAAGTGATAGTGCATTAATAAGGTTATCCAATATAAAGAACGCAGCATTTTATCTGTCGTGGTCAGGTCAACTTATTTTAATATGTATAACCACATGAACAATATTTGTGGATGAAACCTGGCACTTCCGTTCTCAGCAAGGAAGGAACTTCTGTGTAAGAACAGGTTAATCCCTTTTCATTATGAGAGGAGGAAAACCTCATTTTAAAATGGAAGCTCATTTCAATAAAAGTAGTTTTAAATACAACATTAGGCATACATATAAATCTTCAATCACTGACTTTGTGTTAATCTGAAACAATATTTTTATGTGGGGAAGGAAGGCACGGGGGAAAAAGCAGAGAGGAAATTTGCTCCCCCAAAATCATCTTTGTTTTGAGGTCAAGTCTGGGAAATTTTTTGATGGTTAAAAGTTACTTATTTTCATTTCAGTGAGCTGATTTAAAAACAAACAAACAAACAAAAAAAACCCTAAACAATGACTTGGAGAGCACTACAAACCCAGAAAGGGATCTATTGTAAAGTAAGAGTCCCCTGCAAACCCAAGGTCCATCAACCCCAACTGTAACACTCTAGTCTTACTTGACAATGTTAAAATACTGAAGGCTTAATAGAGAGTAAAAATAAAGAATAGTAATATTATAACTTGAAAAGTAAATGCTGTATTTCTTCAGATTGTCTTTGGATCTCAGAACTGGAACGGTTTAAAGGCAAATATTCATCTCAAAATGAAATATTGCTGCATTCAGTAGATCACAAACTTCCAGCAGAACTCTGCTTAAGAATTAACATGACAAATAAATGCTTACATTATGGCTCTTAGGTCTGGTCTACTCTAGGAACTTACATGGGCGTAGCTATGCCTCTCAAGGGTGTGCAAAATCCACAGTCCCGAGAGACATAGCTATGCCGACTTAACCCTGATGTACACAATGCTAGATTGATGGAAGAATTCTTCCGTCGACCTAACTACAGCCTCTCATAGAGGTGGATTACCTACGCTGATGGGAAGCGTAGGTAATGTCTACACTGAAGCACTACAGTGGTACAGCTGCAGTTGTGTCGGTATAGCGGTTTAAGTGTGGATATACCCTGAGGGTATGTCTACACTGCCCATGTTACAGCGCGGCCGTGCTGTGACGTGGGCAGTGTAGTCATGCTTTATAACCGGGGGAGAGCTCTCCCGGTGCTAAAAAAAATAACCACCCCGAATGAGGGATGCTAGCTTTATCGACAGGAAAAGCGCTGTTTACACTGGTACTTTTCAGCGCTAAAACTTTTGTCGCTTGGGGGGAGTTTTTTCACACCCCTGAACGACTCAAGTTTTAGCGCTAAGGTAGTAGTGTAGACACAGCCAGATTCCAAGACCAGAAGGAACCATTGTGATCATTTAGTCTGACCTCCTGTATAACTCAGGCCATAGACCTTCCCCAAAATAATTACTACAGTATATCTTTTAGAAAAATATCCAATCTTGATTTTAAAATTGTCAGTGATGGAGAACCAACCATGACCCTGGGTAAATTGTTCCAATCGTTAATTACGCTCCTGTCTGAATTTGTCTCACTTCAACTTTCAGACACTGGATAATGTTGTCAAGTATCAGGGGGTAGCCGTGTTATTCTGTATCTACAAAAACAACAAAGAGTCTGGTGGCACCTTAAAGACTAACAGATTTATTTGGGCATAAGCTTTCGTGAGTAAAAACCTCACTTCTTCGACTGCATAGAGCTTATTACCACTACAGTAATCACCTATTACCAGGGCTCTGTCTGCAGGGCCG